AGGTAGTTAGTAAAGAGTTATTAGTTAAATAGTTGTTAGGGGTATTAAGGAGACTATAATTAAATTAAAAACTGACGTCTCTTTCTTTTCCCAACCCTAACCCACGTCTCTTTCTTTTTTCCTCCCGCAATCCGAGTGAACCGTCCGCTGTCTATTCTTCTTCCTCCCGCAAGCAGGCGCACAGTCCGGTCGTCGCGAGTTCTCCGTCCGGTCGTCCCTTCTCCGGCCGGCGAGGACAACTAGCTCGCGTTGCAGTCGATCGTCCCAACGCAAAAGACAACAGCCGTTGTTGCCGTCTGCTCTAGCTTCTATTCTACATCGTCGTCGTCGCTGCATAAGTCCCGTTCAGGTCGCCGCCGTCGTCGAATCACTCTCTCTCTCTCTCTCTCTCTCTCTCTCTCTCTCTCTCTCTCTCTCTCTCGTCGAACCCTTATCCCTCGTCGGCGGCAGTTTAAGGCGGAAAAGCAAGCGCAAAGGGCTCTCTCTCTCTGTTTGCTGATCGCCGATTCAAATCCACCACGCCACCGTTCACCGGAGAAAGTGGAGACGGTTTAGGAGAGTGTCGAAAAATTAAGATACAGAAGACGGTTTAAGGTGTTTTTTCGTCTTCAATTTTTATTTCGTATTTTGTGGGGTTTTGGCATTGCATGGGATTAGGGTTTTTGGCGCTTCATGGGATTAGGGTTTTGGTGTTGCATGGGAGTAGTTTGTTTGCGTTGTCGTCGTTTTTTTTTGTGTCTATTATTAATCATTTCGTTGACGTTCGCAGTCTTTTTGTGTCCATTGTTAATCAATCTGTACTCGTTCTCAACCTTTTGGCATCTATTATTAATCATTCCGTGGGCAGGGGTGTCCTTCGGGTTTACTCGAAACCGACCCGATTATATACATTTTCGGTTTTTCGGGTTCGGGTTTGTTCCAGGTTTCGGGTTTGTTCGGTTTCGGGTTCAGTTTTGCTTATCGAATTTTCGGGTTCCGGCTAAAAACCTCCAATGAATAGAACTCGGCCCGTATTTTTAGGCTTTCGGGTTTCGGTTTTGCAACCCGATAAGGAATTTTTGGGTTTCGGGTAACCGGAACCCGCAAGTCTTTATCGGGTTAGAGTTCGGTTTTAGTGATTTTCTATTTCGGGTTTTCTCGGGTTTCGGTTTGGGTAACCGAACCCGACCCGAACTGACACCCTTATCTGGGAAAAAATCCCAAAATACACACGTTATTAAAAAATATTCTCAAAATACATACGTTATAAAAATATTCTCAATGTACACATGTTTGGGCTTCACCGCGGCTATCAACCGCAGTGAATAACATCACCGCGATCGTTAAAAGCGATGAACGCTTCACCGCCATGGTCAGTAGTGGTGAATACTTCATGACCATTCGCCGCTGGTGTCCCAGGCGGTGATGGCCCAAAGTACAGCAACCCCCCCATCTGATCATCAACACAAAGAGATCGATCGGAAGAAATGACAAGTCATAGAAGGCGGACGCTTTCATGGCTGCCATCCTCTGCTGCTACGTTCACAGTCCTTCTTCTTCTTGTCAGGGCGTTTGCGGCTCAACTCACCCACGTTTGTACTCACATATATATTAATCATCAAAGATTGTTTAATTATTAATGGCTGCGCCGTTATGTACTTTGACGGCTGCGGCCTCTCCGACGTCGTCCATGACATGCCTCCTCCTCCACCTCCAAATTCACCGTCTCCAGAACCACCAGCGTCCCTCCCTCGCCTTTCTCCAGATCAACATGCTCATCTTCCTCCTCAACTCCCCCGGCCAACATCGACGAGGAAGAACAAGATTTGCGGCGCGCCGATTACCCCTCTTCGGCCACCAACACCATAGCGACGGCGCGCGACGACGACATCGACAGCTTCTTCGTCTTCCTGCTCCTCCTCCTCATCATCTTACGAGGGCGGCGCCACCGCGGATTGGATGAGATTGTCGGCCGCGATCGGGAGCAACATCGCGCTGGTGAAGGATTTGGACGTTCCGTACGGGGATTTTAGGGATTCATGATGCATATGAATGGCCATCACCGCGTGGGACGGTTGTTGTACTTTTGGCCATCACCGCTTGGGACACCGGCGATGAATGGCCAGGAAGTATTCACCGCTTCCGATAATGGCGGGGAAGCGTTCATCACTTTTGATGGCGACAGTGATGTTATTCACTGCTGTTGACGACCGCGGTGAAGCCTAAACATGCGTAGATTTGGAATATTTTTTGTAACATGTATTTTGAGAATATTTTTTAATAACGTGTGTATTTTGGGATTTTTCCCCCCCTATCCGTGGGCATTTACAAACTGTGTTGTGTCTCCATTGTTAATCGATATGTGCTCGTTCTCAACTTTTTGTTCTCTATCATTAATCAATCTGTTGTGCACAGTAGTAGGTCGTTTTTAATTTTTTGGTGTCTATTATTAATCATTTCGTGGACGTTCGCAGATTTTTTGTGACCATTGTTAATCAATCTATGCTCGTTCTCAACCTTTTTGTTATCTATTATTAATCATTCAGTGGGCGTTCACAAACTGTACTTTGTCTCCATTGTCAATCAATATGTGCTCGTTCTCAACCTTTTGCTCTCTATTATTATGTCGTGCAAGTAAATTATTTAACTGCATTGGTAATAATTTGTAACGTTCATTGCTCACGTGACAATTTTTTAACACTGTTATCAATTTTAGTCGTGTTATGTTTTTTCTGTTATCCAAATTCCGTAGAAAATGGTAAAGTTTATTTTTCTATATTTGTATTTGTCTGCTCCGCCATTATCAACAATACTAAGTTATGTTCGTTATTAACATTTTCTTTTTGTATTGATCGTTATTAGAGAATGAGTTATTAATCATTTCGTGGACGTTCTTTTTAATTTCTTACAGTGATCCACAATATAGCGCGTACGAAGAATACAACGCGTAAGTCTACACCGTTTAGTAAGCCAATGAAGAAGAAGGCAGATGCACCCATAGCTGATGACAATCGCTCACCAATCAGGTGCGGTGTGTCTCAGGTCCGCAAGATCCTTAAGAATATTAGCCCAAGTCGTGCGGCTATACTTCGAAGCTATGAGTTTGGCTTCGTTCTTAACTTGCAGATGCGCAAGATTGACAAGGATTACTTGCGCTTGGTACATGCTAATTTTGATGGTGAGTGAACGCACGACTAGCATTTTTAATTTATTTTATTATCCTGTTCCGTTTTCAACTTTATCTTTAGTCAGTATCCATAAAATCTGCTTCAGTATTAATTGTGAGCACCTGTCCTTGTAACATTTTTTAGGTCAGTCTATGTCGTTCTAGATGCTTGGGGGGTACGTTTGTGTCTCACTGAAGATGACGTTGAACGTGTGTATGGCTTGCCCAAGGGTACCAATATTGTTGATCTTGACATCTTCGACCAGCACAATATAGAGGAATGGGCATTGGCTCTTGGCATATCCACAGTCAGCCCAAATATGATCGACCTAATGCATTTGAAGAATGACATGAGGAACACAACCAATGATGAATCTTGGGTGCAGATGTGCATTCTGTTGAGGATTGGATATGTCTTGGACCCAAATGGCAGTATGATTGTGATGCATAAGTACCTTGGATTCATGAGGGGTAGAGCTGCTGAAGAGATTAGAAACTTCAATTGGTGTGATCACATGCTGAGCCGGGTGAGACGGGCTATCCTTGGGAATTCTAATAGGAAATATGTGGAGGGTGATGCGCATATTCTCATATGTGCATTCCTGGACCGGACCGGTGCGCCTAACACACCAGGGACTGTATCTACCATTATACCAAGTTGTAAGTTATGGAATGAGAAACGAGTGTCAGGGCGCAAGGAAGCAGTCCTTAGTACTTCCAATGATCTGAGGGTTGTGCCTATACTGGATTTTCCAGGGTCTAAGACCGATAAGAACTGACTAGTGGCAGAGCTTGGAAAAACGGGGGCTAAGCATGTTGATATTGTGGGAATTGCTATAGAGGTCCGTTCGAAAGGGGGGCAACCAGAGAATTCTGATGGGGGCGAATCTCATCAGAACATGGAGCCCAAGTCGTTGTTTGAGCTTATGTCCTTTAGGACCGATCACATGGTCACGAATGAGGTTAGCAACATCATTTTTATAATTATCAATGGTATTGTTTTCATTATCAATTTCCCCCCGCTTGCTTGTAATTTAATTTTCATTTGGTTATGTTGTCGAAATGCAGCTTCTGTCTATGCGAAAGCAGGCTTTAAGCTTCCTTGCAACGCTTCGAGGTCAGGTGACCTTCTTCGAAAGACTGGTTGGTGTTTGCGAGTCAGAGCTAATCAGTCGTGACGTCAACTCATTTATCGATAAGGATGAAACAGTCGACGTCTCGCCCTCTCGCGGGGAGCATTTTACCAAGGAAACTGTTCCTGAGTTTTCGGTGGAGGGATCCGCGACGAAAATTGCATCTCCACCTGCCAAAGGTCTTGGAGAGATTTGCACATCGGTTGATAACCCCGATTAGTTGCCTACCAATTGTACAGTCATCCAATTTGAAGACGATTAGCAACTAGGATTCCCTAACTCATTAATTTTTTAAAACTTATTATCAATATTTTCCCCGATAATTTCAATTTGTCATCTTTGTTTTATATTATTAATCAATGTATAATCGTTGTCAACATTTTATGTCTATCATATTAATAATTACAGAGTTTCTCATTAACAAATAATGTCGAGATGGTTACTAAGAATGTCAGAAAAATATTGATAATCGGTTTAGAAATATTAATTAATTGTGATAGGTGGTTAATAATCGTCTGTAAATAGCTTGACAATCGATGGCCATTCTCTGCTTTTTTCTGTCAATTATTAATACTTACGAACGTGCGCACTTCATTCCTATTATTATAATTGACATTACGTTCCCCATTATTATTATTTTCAATGTCGTTTATCAACCGTTTTGTTAGCATTTAGCCACAATTTCCTGTACCGCATGCAACGAGATTGGAGAAGACGTTGGCATGCGTCGTGCTACTGTTGATGATGAGCCACTTATACCCATCCCCCGTGATCAAGATGTTGAAGTTGCTAAGAAGGGTGACAAGCCTAAGATAGGCAATGCATGTGCGAGGACATACAAGGGCAAGAAAGGAAAGGATGACTCGGTGGTGGAAGCAGAGGACGAGCCCCAACCAAATAAGAGGCCGCAGAGGGAGATTAGGCCATCTAATCTTGTCACTTCTCCATTCACTGCAGGGACAAAGATAGATACCGTAGTGGCTCCGAAAAAGAAGAAAAAGAATTGACACGCTAAAACACAACACCAAACTGCGACCAAGTGTAATTGCAGTCCGGAAATGCAGTAACAGGCAAGCTCTATTTGTCAACCCGGGGTCTAGATCTACTGCCTACTCCGTGAATATCTATTATCTAGCAAACTAAGTCGAGTGATTGTGAGTTTAACTAAAAGTAGTAAGAAAGCAGGAAATGGTTCGGTTTTCTAAAGCAAGGGAAGAGTCACTCGGGAATGAGTCCCCCTAGCTCCTTAGTTAGGTCACAGCTGTAATTACCATGGGTTGATTAACTGTTGATTAAACTGCGGAAGATCCGACAGTAGCTTGGAATCTCTTAAGCTGACCAAGCCCTCTCAGTCCAACTACCCGGCAGACGACTAATCTTCACCGGGATAGAAAGCTGAGGCTATGAACGCAGAACTCCACTACTGGAATTGGATTCCAGTACAAAGCAGTAAATCGATTAACTCTCGTATAATTAATCTACCACTACCGATTGATGAAGCTCTAACAACCTAATCAAATTCTATATATCTCAGGTTGCAGTAGAAACCAAGAAAAGATGATCAGACTTCAATTGACTCAATAAATCATGCATCAATCGATTAAAATCAATCAGTATAACAATCCCAAGTTATTACAATCAAGATCCCTAACTCATGGAACTAGGGTTCTTCATACCCAAGTGAGAGAAGGTTCTACTCCATAGAGAGAGAGAGAGGAAAACAGAAATCAGAGTAGTCATACTCATAACAATGAGGATAATATGCTCCGGATGATGATCTTTACTCCTGGGGAAGCAATCTGGGTTTCAATGGTGAGAAATCCACTCCAAATAGCTCCTAGGGTTTTGTTCTTTGCACTTTCTCTCTCTAAAACTCTGTTTTTGCTCCAAAAAATCCACTCTCTCTCCTTTGGCTCGAATCTGCCTCAAAAACCCGATTCTTGGCGAAATACGGGCTAAATTATGGTCGTAATTCTTCCCTGCCCGTATATTGCCCAAAACGCGCGTTTTGGTTAAGTTTCAGCGCATCCAAGGCTCCTCTCGGCAGTGAAAATACGGGCATGGGAGGGGAAAATACGGTCGTATTTCTCGTGCCCATATTTCTTCCTCCGCTCCTGTTTAATGCTTCGTTTCTCCCTCAACCGGACTCCGAATCAGTCGTCGTTTAATCCCAGACGCTCGTAGTCTCGTCCTCTTTATTTTCATGACAAGATTCCACGATTATTTGTCCATAATATGAGGTAGAAATTCATTCTTCTTCAGGTCATGCTCGAGTTTCTTCTCCCGAATTGCCAAATGATCTCCGATTAACTTGAAACTTGCGCCTATGCTTCACTTTACGTGCTAGGACCTGAAATATGACAAAATAACACAACCTAGCATAAAATAGGCCAAGACACCACAAATTTGAGTCAAAATGGTTAAGAAACAAGGGTGAAAACATGTGCAAATACGACGCTATCAAGAATCCTCTCCCCTTAACTTTCACACTTGATCCTAATATATGGGAGGACTTGGTGGTGTCCTATGCTTGGAGTCCGGATATCAAGATGTAAGTGAATTCTACCACCAATTACTAATGCATTGTTTATCACATCGGTTCATCAAAATGATTTTCCCCCTCATTTTGCATATAGAAAAGAAGAGTTACGAACTCTGGAGGACAATACTCTCTCGCTTTGGAGGTCGGACACGCAATCATTTGCGCCTGACACCTTGATTGAAGATGCCTTCATTGGCAGTTATTCTGATTATCTAAATCTTCTTGAAGTGAAGAAAACCAATGGTTCTATCACAAGATGGATTTTCATGGCGCCATTTGTGGTATTTTTTCAACAACCAATGCTTATATCTTATTTTTAGTTGTTTTGTTTTCTTGTAATCGCTCTTTACATTCTGCCTTTTATTCTGTCTTACAGCAAAACTTGCTCTCATTTGACGAGAATAATGAAGTCGTCGAACCAGGCAATACAAAGCCTACTCAATTTCATGTGCGTAGGTTGTTAACTTGCCAAAGCCTTTCTGATGTGCATACTCTTTATAGAATAACTATGCATGATCCCTGGACACAAACCTACGATCTATCCATGTTGATTCATTTTTCGGGATCAACCAAATAAATCTCTACACAAATTATCAAGAAATTGGTTAATAATGAAGCACATTTTGTTTACTTATTAATAAGATGATTGTTATCAATTCGACTTACCCATGTTATCGATATTAAAATCACGAATGTCCACGACTGGTATATAACTAGCATCATTCAGATGTCCATCATCCACCACTTTTGCAACTGTGAACACATCACGTCACTAGCACGAGTTTTTTTTATCAATCAACGTATATACACGATCGATCAACTCACCTTCACCTTCTACATATATATTTTCTTCTGTAACCTCATCTTCGCGTAAGTCATCGTTATTGGGCATATCTTCACCTTCCAGCTGACATCACAGGGTACTTCATTCAGATGTGCAATGTTGAAGAAATAAAAAAACTATTACATTTAATTATTAACAACTATCCACGTCATTACTAATCTTCCCTTCTTGGATTATTAACCTAACACGACGGAGGAATTATTAATCATCCCTATCTGTGTAATGACCTCTACTTATTAACACATTCAATTATTAACAAAAATTCCGACTTTAGTTATCATCACTTTTTAAATTACTAATCTAAAACGATAGTTAATGTTTATATGAAAAGTTGATTATTAACTTAGAAACGTCAATTTTTAACAACCATCAACGTCATTATTAATCTTCCCTTGTTGCCTTATTAACCTAAAACGACAATGACATTTTACATGCAAAGTTTATTATTAACTTATACACCTTAATTATTGAAAACTAACGGCGGAATTATTAATCATCCCTCTCCGTGTAATGACCTCTACTTATTAACAAATTTAATTATTAATAAAAAATCCGACTTTAGTACTCAACTCTTTTTAAAATTCTAATCTAAAACGCTAGTGAAAGTTTAATTGAAAAGTTCATCATTAACTTAGACTTGTTAATTATTAACAACCATCCACTTCATTATTAATCTTCCCTTGTTGCCTTATTATCCTAAAACGACAATTAAATTTTACATGCAAAGTTTATTATTAACATAAACACATTAATTATTAATGACGTAATCAAGACTTATTAATCATCCCTCTTAGCGTAATGACCTTTACTTATAACACCTTCAATTATTAATAAAAAATTCAGTCCTTAATAATCTTTTCTTTTTTAATTAATAATATAGAATGATAGCAAAGGTTTACATGAAAAGTTGATTATTAACTTAAACAATTTAATTATTAACAACTACTGCATGCACTATTAATTATCCCGACCACGTTATTACCTTAAATTGTTAACAATTGTTGCCAGTTTTATTAAACAACCCTTCCCGAGCTATTATAACACCTCTTCACACAACGCAATCAAAAATACATTAGCCATAACGAGGTACAGCGCAACTTACCAAACATAAAGGGTCTTGGCGATTCAATGTAATAGGTAGTCTAGCAACGACAGACGAGAGAGACGACGACAATCGAGAAGTCACTCGTCGCAACGACAACAAACGAGAGATCAGTCGTGACGACGACAAACTGAGACCAGGCGCAACAACGGTGGACGGAAATGAGGAGTCACCAACTCAGGGGCACGACGACGAACGGGAACGCAACGAAAGTTTACAGCGAGGGGTCACCAATTTGGGGGCGCGACGGCGACGACTAGTGTCGAAGCGGTTTTAGGGTTGGGAGGACGACATGGGCTCGAAAATATATATCCACGCGCATATGTTTTTTTTTCGGCAGTTTCCCAAAAATAATTACTATTAGTTAATTTTTTACTCTATTCCCGTCTTACCCTTCCACGTTTCTGTTTGGTAGTTGGGTAATGATTACTAATGACTCTCTCTCCTTCTCTTATTGGTTGACAAGGGTTTAAGATTTTCCTTAAGATCTAGGCCTTAAGGGCCTGATCTAACCCGCAAAAATAGGTCCCCATTTATGGCAACTAGCACAGGGCCCGACCCGTTGGCCAGAAGAATTTTTTCGAGAAATATGGTATATAATAACGGATATAATAGATGATTTGAAATGTATTAAATGATTGTTTTCTATCTTAGTTATGCACATAACATTTTTGAAAGTGATCCAACTATCCATAATGTATTTAGAACTCCACGAAAAGAGAAAAAAATATATAATATAAGCATTACATATAATTATTGAATGAAAAAAAGAATATAACTAATAGTCATTCATTACTTAATTAAACTATATAGTTGAATATTACAGTTGCTTCTCATAATACATACATAATCAACCTTTATGATGAAAGAAAATGTCTCATAGAGGTACACCCTTTAAGTTTTTTCCAATAGAGAGCATTCTTTTTTACCACACTATTGGTAATGAATCTAAAGTTGGTTGATTTGAAATATATAAGCATGATGCTAAGTTGTCTCTCATAGTTAGTTGGACAATGTGATGTGTACGGACTTTCAAATTATTCTCAGATCGCAGACATGTCTAGCAACAATGTAGTAATTTTCATGCAACAAATATTTTTTCATGAAATAATTCAATAAATAAAAACGTATGAAAATAATATTACATGAAAGATATGTTACTCATTAAGTTGATGAATGAGCGAGGGTATGAGTAGCATACATTTATTTTAAAAATATAGAAGTTGTGAAGTGTCTTTTGTGTTGCATTAAATTGCATATTCTCATTATCGCTAACTGACTTATGTTTTTTTTGCAATAGATAGTTCAAAATGTGCTTTAAAACTTTTGTTTCCACCAATGTAAAAGAATTGTTTGAAACAAAAGATTGTAAAATCTTATAAAAAAAGTTGGTAGTATAGTATTTTATAATGAAGTCATAATTTAACTGTGGTTCAACTGTTTCCTATTGTTAAATATCACCTATCGATTTAGCCTATGATGTGAAGTTTTATGGTCTAATTGTCGGTACATACAATAT